GACATATTATCTAAACAATTAGATAAACAAATAAGCAAATTAAATATTAAAATGAATGGAGAAGAAAAACAAGTCCAGTTAAACCACATATTATATATTGATGATTTAAAGATAATGACTAATAGCCTCGATGAAATGGAAAAAGCCTACAAATTAACTAAAGAAATATTTAATGCAATAGGATTAAAAATTAATGTAGAAAAGATGGAGATAATGACTAATATTAATAGTCAAATAAATGGTGAATTAGCTGAACTACCATGAGTAACTAATGATAATCATTATAAATACCTTGGTATTGAAATAGGAGATAAAGTAAATATCAATAAATATTGTACAAGAATATTAAATGATATATCTTCTATTTTATCATCATTAAACACTATGAAATACAGCAGCCCCAATACAATAAGAAAGATTAATAGTGATATAATCTCTAAATTAAGATATGGATTTTGTATTGTCAAATATAAACTAGAAGAGTTGGAGAAGATAGATAAACAAATAAGAAAATCATTAATTCACATCCAATTATATAGTAGAAATATTCCCAAAAGTATATTATATGTTAAAATAAATGAAATGGGATTAGGATTAATGTCAGCAAAAGATGAATGTGCTAAAGAATTAATAAGAATATATTTAAAATACAAATATCAATCACAGGAATATGAGAAATGATAGAAGCAATAAAAGAAAATCCAAATGGAATAATTAAAAGAATGAAGAAAGCATTTGGTAAGAAGATTAATTTTAATGAATTAATGAATGTAATAGAATTAAATGAAAGAAAGCACAATGTAAAGAATGTATTTGAATGGGTAAATAATGAATTAAATGAAAGATATTTAAAAGAATTGAAAGAAAAGAAATGTGGTGAATATATAAGAAATGCAAATGGCACTTTTAATGATAAGAAATTAACAGTAGCCACTTGGAGGTCATTAAATATAAAAAGAAATGAATTCCTCCAAATAGTAAAGATGCAAGAAGGAGTAACTATGACAGGAAGTATTAAATCTAAAATACTCCAAAATGATGCTTTAAAATATTGTAAACATTGTCATAACACTATTGCATCTATTAGTCATATATTGTTAGGATGTAATGAAAAAGAATCAAATATCAAAACATGATTATGTTTGTAAACAAATATATAAACAGATATTAATTACACATTTTAATGAATTTGATTCAATTGACTTTAATAATCCTCCTAAATGTATTAATAATGATAAAATGGTCATAATTTACAATAAAGATTTATTGGTTAGTGACCATTCTTTCCATGAAAGAAGACAAGATATATATTAACAAAATATGAAAGAAAAGAAATGATATATTATAGATGTTGTTATATGTCAAGATAATAATTTAGAATTAAATTATATTCATAAAATAAATAAATACAAAGAATTACAAGAGAAATTAAGAAATAATAGAGAAATAATATATGTAGAAATAATACCTGTTATATTATCAATAAATGGATTAATACATAAAGAGTCAGCAAGAAGATTAAAAGCACTGAAATTAAAATTAGAATTTTCCAAAATCCTACGAACAATAATAATAAAAAATATGAAAGACTTAATGTTTTACACATTCAATTCTGGCAGCACATTAGAAGAAGAACAATCTAATGCGAGCATGCTAGAAATGAACTCAATAACACCAATAGAGCATATCGGAGAAACTGAAATAAACACTTCTCAGTATGAAGAAAATCCAATAGGTGATATATCTAATAATTGACCTTTTTTTTTTTTTTGTGTTTTTCTTTGTATTTCTCTTCTAATCCATTTTTCCTTTGTATTTCATTTATTATTATTATTTCTTTGCCATTTATTGTTATTGACATTCATTCTTTTATATGACAATGGATTTCTATGTTTTGTTTATTTTTCTTTATCATACACATTGTTATTGCTCAATATCCTTGAAACACCATTTGTTAATTTCTGTGTTTGAAAAAGAACTAAAAAAAAAATAATAAAAAAAATAAGAAAGGAAGAAAGAAAGAAGTAATGGTACTAAGAAAATCAACAATCAATCGATATAAAATTGAAAGACTTGCATATTTATTTATGGAAAGTGAAGCATTTCCATCAACAAATAAGAATTCATTTAAAAAATTATTTGTAAGAATTGTAGAACAAATACTTCATGATGTTATTAATAAAAATGATGAAATTAAAGAGAAATTAGTAATTGGGACGATTATTCAGACGTTTTCAAGATATTCAACTAAATCAATGTGGAAACGATTTTCAATAAAAAAATTTGGAAGTGAATATACAGGACTTGAATTAAGAAATTGTTTTTTAGCGTGTTATAGAAGATTATTAAATTTAAGAGTTTCATCAAGAATTATTGATCAAATTATTAAACTTCTTCATTCATTTAGAAATAATTGTTGTCAACAATTTCTTACATTAAATAAAAATGAATTTCATCCATTTTTCTTAACAGAAAAATATACAATTTCATATATTAGTTATCTTTATAAAAATCATCAATATTTTAACATTATTCAAAAAGCAAATGCTTTTCCTGAAGTAGAAATTTTAAATGCTAGTTGTTATTTTAACGGTTATTTGGCAAAAGCTGCTTATCAATATTTTCTTAAAGATCCTCAAAAAAATAGTAATTATGTTGATCTTTCTATTAATTATTTCTGTAAAGCTATTTCTTCTTCAGGAGGTTCTCCTTATTATATCTTTCAATTTATTTCTTTTCTTAGAAATGAAGGTGAAGAAGATACTATCATTGAAGAATATCAAAAAGCTCTTGATAAAAAAAATTTTAGATTAATGTTATTATCGTTTGTTTATTATTCCTTTTTTTGTTTATTTCTTTTATTTATCACTTAGTTTAATTGAACATGAACCAAATAAATGTGATATTATTCATGACATGTCTTCTTTTATGGAAAATTATCTATCTCAATATCCTTATGATCATATTGGTAAAAAAGTAATAAAATCTGATTATATACCATCATCTTACTCTCTTACTCTTCAAGTCTTTGTTTCTAGGTTTGAATTTCCTTATTCAGAAGATGAATATTATGAATTATGGCGTGATTTTAAGATTTATCTTGAAAATAATCAAATCCCAGACATATCATCAATTTATCCTTTCTCTAATCATATCTGGAAAAGAAGACATTTCCCTTTATTTTCTCATATTGTTAAAACAATGGACCTTAGATTAATTGAAATAAAAAAAGTTGTCTTTAAATTAATATATAACACTGAATGGAAATACAATTAATTTATTCTTTTATCTTTTTCTTTTTAAATACCATTTATTAAAAATAAAAAAAAGAAAAAGAAAAAAATCTTGGTTCTTCATTTCATTTATGTCAAACAGTAGTGAATCTGAAAGTCGTCATAGAAGAAGATCAGAATCATATTCATCTGATTATTCACCAAGACCAAGAAGATCACGTTGGGATGAAAAACCTACTGTAGTTTCAACATTAATTGATACAAATGAAAAACCTGATGCAACACCTGCTTTAATTTCAAATGATATTGGTATACAAAATAAAATTGAATCATTACCAGATGTAAAACCAGGAGAACGAGCATTTTTTGAAGATGCTTTAATACAACGAGATGAATCAGAATTATCAAGTGAAGAACGAAAAAAAATTCAACTTAAAAGATTATTATTAAGAATTAAAAATGGAACACCTGCAATGAGAAAACAAGCATTACGTCAACTTACTGAAAGAACAAAAGAATTTGGAGCAGAAGTATTATTTGAACAAATTTTACCATTACTTATGTCAATAACTTTAGAACAACAAGAAAGACATATTTTAGTAAAAGTAGTAAATCGTATTATTTTTAAATTAGATAGTTTAGTTCGTCCATTTACTGCAAAATTATTAGTTGTTATAACACCTTTACTTGATGATGCAGATTTTATTGCTCGTGTAGAAGGAAGAGAAATTATATCAAATTTGGCTAAAGCTGCTGGTCTTCAAACAATGATAGCAGCTATGAGACCAGATATTGATTCACCTGAAGAATCAATTAGAAATACAACAGCTCGTGCATTTTCTGTTGTTGCTGCAGCAATTGGAATACCATCATTACTTCCTTTTTTAAAAGCTGTTTGTGGATCAAAGAAAAGTTGGTATGCACGTCATACAGGATTAAAATGTATTCAACAAATTGCTATTTTAATGGGATGTTCTGTTCTTCCTCATTTATCAGCACTTGTTGCTATTGTTTTTCCTAGACTTAATGATATTGAAGCTAATATAACTAAATTTGCAGCACTTGCTATTGCAGCACTTGCAGAAGCATCATATCCATATGGTGGAGATGTTTTAGAACAAACATTAGAACCAATTATTGAAGGATGTAAACGAATGAGAGGAAGATTACTTGCATCTTATATTAAAGCAGCAGGACAAGTGATATCAGTTGTTGATGAAGAAATAGCAGCGAAATATGGATGGGAAATTATTAGAGTTGTTGTAAGAGAATTTAAAACATCAGATGAAGAAATGAAGAAAATTGTATTAAAAGTAATAAGACAATGTTTAAATGTTGAAATTATTGGAAAAGAAACATCAAAAAATAATATTGCAGAAAGATTTTTTGAATCATTTTGGCATAGAAGAAATTCAGTTGATAAAAAATTAAGTAAAGAAGTTATTGAAACAGCATTATTATTATCACAAAAAATGGGTGCAAAATATATTTTTAGAAAAAATTGTTGTTTTT